CGTGTAGGCACTTCTTGTGGGTGCTTTCACTGTGGAGGGAATTTGTGGGGATGGCACTGTGGAGGGAATTCTGGAGCACATCCCAGCTTCTGTAGCTGCATGGGAGTGTTTGGAAAATTGACTGAGAAACACCAGCTTTTCTACTGGGCCCGGGCTACGGAGGTAGATGATCCCCAGGGTCATCTCCCTGCCTGGATTTGAACTGGATGCTGTTGCTTCTTGGAAAAACAAGGGAGCCCCTTCCCTGCCTGCCCACCCCAGGCTCAGGCTGGGTGCTTCTCTGGGTGCTTCTCTGCAGAGGTGCTGCCTCGTGCAGCGTCACACACGTCGCAGCTGGAGGGCAGCTCTTCTGACCACTGTTCCTTCTTTTCAGGCTCCTATTCAGAGGAGGAAGAAACCAGCTTCTCAGAAGAAACGTCGGTTTAAGACTCACAATGACCACTTGGCTGGAGTGTTGAAAGATTACTCTGATGTTGTTCCTGGCAAGCAGTGAGCAGTTGCATTCTGGAGCAAACAGGCCTTTCCAGACGGGCTTTTTGCCACTCGGCGTCTGCTCCCAGAGACACTGCCTGTATATAGTAATGTGATGTGTCTCCCCACCCCAGCCACTGCCAAGATGAAACAGGTTGGTTTCAGAGGGGGGAGGAACGACTACATTTAGAGTTTCATTTCATTAGCCAATGGGAAATGTGTCTAAGGTTCTCACTAGTGGCCTCTTGGCCCAGGGTGATCAACGGTGCTCGGCACGTGATGCGGGAGTTCCCGTTCAGTGCTGAACTCTGCTTTTACCCTGCTCCAGGGGTGTTTACCTGGAGTGATGTACAAGGGGCTTTCTAGTAGATCTGAGCACAGAATCTGTGTACACAACAGCATTTGTTGTATCTCTTTTGGGAAAACCTTGTCTGCAAGTTTCTTTCACAGCCAAGCCCACCTTGGGGGCTGCCTGCGTCTTCCCTGCCGTGGGGCTGAGCGGTGCTGACAGTCAGTGATACCTGAGGCTCCAGCTCAGAAACAAAACCCTCTTCCCAGCTCCCAGCAGGCTGCAGGGTGGCAATGCAGCTGTAGCTTCCTAGTGCTAGTCAGAAATTGCCCTCAGCAATGTCTCCACTGCAGTGGATTGCATGTGTGTTGCACAGTTCCACTCGCTGGACAGGAGGGAAATAAACGACAGTGTAATACTGGCAATACTGAAGCCTTTTTTTTTTAAGTAATAAACTTACAATGCTGGTTTCCAGTCTTGCCTCCTTAAAGAATGAGAATCAACATATGTTGTGCTGCCTGTGTTTCCCTTTTCAGGGAGGTAAAGGAATCTCTGCTGTCTTTTTATCTTCTCGATGATTTATCGTTCTGGGCTAACACCATCAACCTCTTCCCATTATTGGCTGGGAAGGGGGGATGAACCACCTTAAATGAAATCTCCCTGGAGATGCCTGATGTTCTGTGCAGCACAGTCTAAGGTGGAGTGTGGCCAGTTGGTGTCCTCTTGATAACTTCTTTTGCTGTGCTGAACCAGAGTCAGTCAATGCTGATATTGTTTTCCCGGCACTGCGGGAGAGGAGCCGCTTCCCTGCTCTTCCAGGCTTCAGATCAAAGGCACACGAGGTGATTGCCATATCCCACTGGCAGTGGGGTTGCTGCTGCCTGCTGGTGCCTTGCTCCAAGTTCCAGGGGTTGAAGCAGAGTCTGTTGGACCTGGGCACCTGAGCAGAGGAAGAAGGAGGCATTGTTCCCGTCGCACGGAGCAAGTTGCACCTGCGTGAGAAAGCGCGGGGAGAGAAATGGGCTTGAGTGAGTGTGGCATCTGTTCTGGTTTTCATGACTGCTCTTTTGAGAACCAGGCAACACTTCCAGCCCTGCACATGTCAGGCCTGTTTAAAGAGACTCTGGTAGAAGGCTTCTTCTATTTTATTTTGGTTTTTTACTGCTTTATATCTCTCTCTCTATACCAAAGCTTGACGCTCCAGCTGGTTTTGGGACAGTTTTTCTTTCCCTCCCAGGTCAGCACAAGCAATTCCTCCTGGAGCTTTTTAGCCCTGCTTGGGGCACTTGTGGCACACTTGCAAACCAGTTTATCTCTCTTCTGTCACATTCACTCAAAAGGGAGAAAAAAAACCCAAAAGGCTCCTTTCCATCTGGGGCATTTTTGAGCATTTTTTGTGTGGTGATGCTGGGACAAAAGGAGAGCTCTTGGTGAGTTGCCTTTCATACCTTTGGAGGTTTTTAGGGGGTAACTTCCCAGTGACCTTCCCCAGCATTACCTTTTCTCTCTGAGCCAGAGCTTGCAAAGCAGACTGAGAAGCAGGCTTGACAGTTTTCTTTCTCTGCTCAAGTGATTTAAGATGATAGAAGAGTCTAAAGAAAACCACCTCCAGCTGCTTTCAAAGATCACAAATACGTTTGGTCAATAATTAGGAGAGCAGGAAAAGAAAATCAACTACCAGCTCTGTCAGGCTCCAGTGTTCAAAGGAACAAAGCAGCCTGGTTGGTGTCCAGTGGGAAAAACTGGTCACTGTCTCACTGGAGGGAGCCTTCCCTGCTGCACTGGCAGAGGTGGCATAATAAGTTTCACAGCTTGTTAGGTCAGTGTCTCAAAACCCGCTGAGAGGGAGCTCACCTGGGCCTATTAGAGGTGGCAGGGAATAGAGACAAGCAGCTGTGGGGAAAGCAAGTTCAGAAAAATAACCATGATCTCCTCTCTTCCGTGTGGGTTTCAGGAGCTGGGTTTTGTTTTCTCTTACCAAAGCTACTCCCAGGGGTCCTTACGAGTTTTGTTCCCAAGAACTGTTAAAACTCAAACAGTGCAACTCAGAGAGATCTCAGCCTGTGTCAGAGGGAGCCTGTTTGCTGAGAGGATGTTGCTGCCACTTCAAGTCACTGCAGTTCAGCAGAAGAGATCACAACTGTTAAAAGCCCTAAACCCACTTTGTACTTTGTCTTCCTCCAGGGTGTTCTCCTGGGCTCTGTGTCTGCCCAGATGATTCTCCTGGTGGCCACAACCCTCGTGCCCTCCACTGGCTTTGATGAAATCCTTCTTCCCTCAGTCTGGGGGTGCAAGGGGCTGCTGAGAGGCCTCGTGCTCTCTCCTGGGGACCATAGGCCTGTTCCTCCATGGTTCTCTTCCTTCCTTCCTGCTAACCAGGAAGACAAGGGGACTGGGGCTGCCCTTGGCAAAGGCAGAACTTAGAGTATTGCAGTTGGAAGCGACTGACAGTGATCACCTGGTCCATGGCAGACACCTTGTCTTCTGCATTTTGGGCATCCTCTTGGGCAAACCCATCTCAGTGAGGTCTCCACCTGTCCCTGGGAGGTGAGGACTTTTCCTCTCCCACTCTCCTGAGGCTCCTCAGGTGGTGCACATCCTTTCCAGCCAGGACCTTGTTCCTCAGCTCCAGGGTTTGGTGTGTGTCCCCCCTGGTTGGGGGCTGCCACTTGAGCCCTTTTGGGACCCTTTGGGGCAGTGGAGGAATGGCAGCACTGATGGGCACTTCTTCTGACACAGTGTCCTTCTCTTCCCTTGCCATATCAGCCAGGGCCCAGGGGAGCAGGAGCTGCACTGGCCCTTCAGCAGGATCTGGGCAAGACTTCTTTGTGTCTCTAGATGTGAACCAGAGCTTTTTCATCCCCTCCTCCTCACCCCCAACATCAAAGCTCTGTTGTTTGGGGTTTTTTTAAGGTACAAGGTAAATAGCCCAGGGGTGTCACAGCCCTAAACATGAGGGTCTCCTGCCTTCTCTCCTGAAGTTGCTCCAACTGAAGGGTTGTTCCACCTCCTTCTCTGTTACCATGATCATTCTGGAAAGGGATGGAAACCAGCAGGGTTTTGTATGGTTGAATGAGAAAACTGACATAAGGTGGTGTGTACCAGAGCTGATCTATAATTCATCACCATCATTCAAGGCTTTTAGAGAGCAGAGGAGAGGGAGGCAGAGGAGCCCTGACGAGCTGTGTGAAGCCCCTGCACGTGGCTCTAGCCAGCCATGGCTGTCACTTCTGATGAGCATGGGCAGGTGGTGTGGGGCCACCAGGGAGAGCTGGGCTCCTGTACCTGCTGCTGAGGAGGGGCTGTGTTTGCAGATGACTAGAAGCAGCCATGGCACTGACATCTCATTAGTTCCAGCTTGGTTGCTGCCTTTCGGGTCGCTGCTCATTTCCCAGGCCCAGATTCCTTTGTGTCTTGCTGCCTCGGGGGCTTATGGCAGCTCCTGCATCTGGGGGAGGGTGTCTGGGAGGGTTGAGTGCTTTCTGTTGACTGGTTAAGACCAGCAAAGCTAACCACTAACAACCAGCAGGGAGAGGAGAGCTCAGTCTGCTGGTGCTGGTTTTTCTGCTACTGGCAAAGTCAGGGGGTACATCTGGATGGTTGAGGTTCACCAGGGAGTTGTCAGCAAGAGGGGGATCAGCCTGCCAAGGGCATTCCCAGCTGCATCAGGTACAGCCAGTCCTGGCTCTGGGGGTGCTGCACCAGCCTGGGATTTGGTTGTTGTGGTGGCTCCATCTCCTCCTGGGGAGCAGGGATTGTCCTGGCTGGTTGTCCTGGCTCCATAGGTGCATTCCTAACTGAGTCTGTCTTGTCAGCTCAGCACAGGTTCTCTGGACCACCCCCATGAAGCAGGTAAGAAAGGGTGGCAGTTCCCCAGAGGAGAGGGCTTGTCTGGGCATGAAGGCATCTTCTCCATTGTGCTGGGTATGGCATAGTTGGAGCTTCTCTGTTCCCCAGTGAGGGGCCACTGTAGCAGGGGAGGCTCCTGGTTCTTTGCTCAGTGCTGGGGAGGTGACACCTGGAAACTGTCCAGTTTGGGCCTCCCCACCCCATCCAAGGGGGATACTGGGAAGTGTCTGGTTGGAGCTTCTGGGCTGGTCAGGGCTGGGGGTAAGAGGTCCTGGAAGGAGGGTGTGGAGCTGGGACAGCTCAGCGTGGTGATGAGGTGGCTGTGGGCCTGGCTCATCACAGGGACAGCAATATGAGGGGCAGGCAGGAAGATGATGTGGTCAGACTTGTCTTTGGCAGCCGTGGCAGGTGATGTCATAGCAAGGAGGTGGGAAGTTCAGCTTGGATATTTGGGAAAGAATGTGGGTGGGGAGATGTCTCCAGCCATAGGGGTTTCAGGCATCACCCGGGAAAGACCAAACTGCCCAGATCTGTTACTGACAAACCATCATGTTGCAAGAGGGAGGTTGGATCTGAGACCTCCTGTGAGCCCTTTGACCCATGTGCTCCAAGCCCTGGTTCCTGCAGTGCTGCCCTCCTTGCTGGCAGAGCAGTTCTCCTGCTTCCTGCTGCTTTGCTTGGCGCTCTGAAAACCCACCAGTGCTGCTGTGCTCGGGATCCACGTGTTGGGTGTTCTGCAGAGGGCAAGCACAGCAGGGGAGAAGGAGGAAGGATGGTTAAGGCAGGAGGTTGCCCTTCCATTAAGTGGATTTTTTTTTTTACTATACCTGCACTTCTGGGCTGAGATCCAAGGCCTGAAGGACTCGAGCGATTTCCTCCTGCCTCCATCAGTTATGTTGTGTTCTCTGTTCCCCCTGAGCTAGTTATTAATTATGGAGGCTGCAGAGATGAAGCCCAGGCTCTGCTAATGGTTGCCAGCCCCCTGGTTTAGAAGCAGCAGTGCAGAGATCTGCTCATGGTGCTTCTTAGCTTTGCTTTTTAAGCTCCACTGTCATCTTGGTTTCCAGCCCCAGCAGGGCAGCCAGGCAGAACGTGGTGCTGAGAGGTTGGCTGAGGCCTGGCTGTGCCAGCAGCCTGAGGGAGCAGGGCACACACCCACAGCACCCTGCTCATCAACCTGGGGTGAATTATACCCCCCAAATCATCTCATCCC